ACCTTTCCACTTTTCAAAAGCTTTATGCTATTCGAATTTATTTTCAATACCAACTTTTAACAACGTTCATTATTGCTATTTTTCACTATCGCAGATAGAAGATCAATACCTCTCGAATATCTTGCAAATAATATCGATTTCGTCTAATTCAACTATAGGTCTCATCTGCTATATATAACTTGACTTATAGCTCTCCAAGAGGAAGCATCTTTTTGTTTACTGCTATTCATTACTTTAGAGATGGCAGCAGTAAGAATTACTTCAGAAGTAATTCATATCTCCTTGGTATCTGTAATGAAATCACGAATATTTTAAATTTTGCGACAAACTATCAACAAAATTGTTAATTGTTTTTTTGTTTGAAAATTGCAAAGCAAAATTGTTTTGCAATTTTCAAACAAAAAATACATTCAAAAAAGCGGTATACAACAAAAGTTCTTGAACGGGCTGAGAAGTGATTATAAAATACCAGACATTAAATTTTTCTAAACTGCTGAGAAATGAAAAACGTGACAGTTCGTACTCTGATAAGGAGTAGTCCTTGTGACCACTCCGAAACAAACTCTCCATTTATCTTGTGGTGGCAATAAAGGGAAAAAGCGAATTTTTTTGTTTTTTTTTTAAATATTTTTGTAGTTCTCAGATGTATTATAAAGGGCAAACAACTCATGTAATTTGCTTTCCTTTCAATAATAAAGGACTAGGATTACAACATTGTGTAGAAATGAGCCCAGCCACAAAGACAAGATTAGGATTAACTAATCACTGAACGATTGTATACTTTCCAGCTAACTGGATTTATTCATTCTCATTACTTGAAAATTTTGAATTTGACCATATAAGTGAAGATTAAGCAATCATTGAAACCAACTGCGCCTTGCTTTTTGCAGAACATTTAGAACTCACTGTTGGTTTTTGTAATGTCATTCATCAATGACGCAAATGGCAGTTCTCAATTGATTTTGATGCCAAATACCTTTATCACAGTTATCACCTTCAAAAATCTTTCGATTCAGTTGAAAATTAGCTCATGACAGTAATGACGAGATTTCAAAATTTGTACCAATTTTAGTACTATATATATTTTAACTTCACTGAGGAAAACATGAAAACTATTTAAGTTAGTGACACTAACGATGCAATTCTGAATTTATTAACGAAAGTAATCAGTTTCATTAATAACTTAGTTTACTGTTATATAATTTTGTACATCGATTGCAATTATGACACGAATTGCTCCTTCATCCACTATACATTACTATTGCAATGTGTTGACGCGGATTGCAGCAACTTTTGTGGCATAATTTTCCTTTCATTTCATTACTTAATTTGCAGAATCAAAGGGTGGAAATTCAACGAGGAACAAAGTCGAATATTGAGCCTATAAAGGAAGAGCGGAACACTTCAAACATATCTGGCCAATATTCTCTAAAATCATTATATTCGCAGAACTGTGATTGTCGAAAATAGACAAAAATATTGATGACTCGGATAGTATTGTTTAGTGCTATCACATTATATCTTATCACTGTTATTAATGCTGCACCAAAACGATTCCGAAAACCAGGTGACTAGCCTTTGATTCTGCAAATTAATGCTATTTCTTGTTAACTCCTTCCAATGAAATAACCAAAATATATACAGTATAGGTTATTAGGTCTTGAAAAGAACTCGGTGCCCACTACCGTATGTGAAGCGTACAAACTTTAACTCTTTTGATCGAATGATATACTCGATTATTTAATAAGAAATGCTTCTATGAGCAAGAAACTGACCTCTATAAAGAATAAATAGTTGTAGATCTTGGGGGTCATTCGGATGATATAATTTAAGCAAAGAAAATGTCGTATAAGTCAAATTGCGTAGTCCGCTAAAAAAAAATAAGTGAAAAGTAAAATATTACTGAGTAAAATAATAAGTAAAATATTTCTGGTTACCAAATTCTTTTTGTTATATGCAAATTTTTACTTATACAATTTTATGGTTGATTGTGGATTTAGTTTGTTATAAAAACGGCTGGCAGAATCATAAAGAAAAAAAGGTGGAAAGAGTAATAAATTGAAGGCGGTTTAATGCAATTGTCGCAAGTGCAATTTAACAAAGAATGTCATTTTAAAATTCAACTAATATCCAATTTCAAACAATGAGAGAGATGAATTAATGATTTGCTCTGTCCCATACTTTAAACCACTCGAAATTTTGTTTGGAAGCTTTTCATCTGCTAGTGCTACTTCGTTATCTTGCAAAAACAAATCATTTTATTGCTTATAGCTGTAGCATTTTTTAGCGTTGAGATTAGAAATTTCGGGAAATCTTGAAATTTATTATATTCAATCTGTACCGAAAAAGAAGTATGTCCTTATGAAACCATGTAACTACGATTCATTCAAGCACTCCAAACTATTTCCAAAAAACACTTTTAGCAAAGCTATGGTAATTAATAAAATTTACTCATCGACTCATTTATCTTTTCTGCCACTTACTCTTCTTAACTAGTTCCAGGCACCGTCTCTTTGCGTTATATTTCATCTTTGACTGAACTCATAAGATACTTTTATATTATCTTAAATTAATTTTTTAACCTGATGAAATATGCAGAGTCTCTGTGACATTAATAGGGTAATACTCGGAAAAATTGAGACTTTTGCGCAATACCTATTTATTGAATTGTTTGTAATTTCTTTGAGCTATTTTCATTCATTTAATTGTTTTGACTGTGAATTCAACTTCATCATAAAATTTGACTTTGTAAATTCATTGAAATCAATGGTAAAAGTTACGATATGTAGTTTTGGAAGAGGTTTAATATTAAGGTCATCTTAATGAGAAAGAAGCAATGATTAATTCCAGTTGAAAGAGGTTGAGGAGACATTTACCGGAATGAATTAACTGCAAGAAACATTTTTAGTTTTACATATTTCAGTATGTTTGTTTTCAAGCACAAGCACTTTTTGTTTTTATATAACTTAATATGATTGTTTCAAGTAAATGCACCTCTGTACATTAAATTTCAAGAAAGTTGAAGTAGAAAACTTTCGAAGTTGATAGCGGAATGTTGCGAAATCCTGAAAATATAAATGTCGTAAGATCAAAGGGCATAAAGTTTTGCATTGTTCCTTCCAGAATGTCCGGATGATCAGCTGTGGGTATACGTAAACGTGACGGAATCAGATCGAGAAGAGTACCACATCAATAGGACCAGAGCAAGCTCTCTTTTTGAATGTACACGAAAATGTTACAACGATCCTCGGTGTTTCTCATTGAAATACCGCGAAGCGGACTCATCAGGTTGCGTGCTAACCGGTTTTGGCTCTGAATCCTGCCATAAGATTATTTCCGTACCAACTACTAAAATCAAATATGATATCAAAACACTTATCACTATTGATTGTATAAAATGCAAATTAACGAAGCAATTTAATTCAAGTAAGTATTTACTTATTTCAAGTAAGTAATTGTGACAATTACAGTAGTAATTTAAAACGATAAATTTTTTATGACTATATTAAATCTGGCAATTATGTTTTCTTCCAAATTGCTTATCATTTTCTTTATTTTCGAAACTTTTCCATTCAAGTTTGAAAAGTTTTCATCATTTGCTGCTTGTATTCCCGAAATAATGATCATTGCAGAAGAGCTGAAGACATCTTCTGAGCCAAACGACAATAATGAACTGTCTTTCTCATTTTCAGGTTCACACTTATATCTATAATCATTTAGAACTTAGTTTTAAAGATATCATTTGCTTTAGAAAAAAGCAAGTCCAAAATTCGAATAAAATGTTAAAAACGGACGGAAACTATATTGAATAGAATTTTATTTCTTTAGAATCTAAGTTATGTGATAAACAAACGATTGCAGGAGAGCCATTTAATGATACAGCACTGCAGTCGTTATTAACCTTGGGAAATACAATTGCATCTGTTTCTGGAACGGATGCATGCCAACCTGAAGGTAGAATTCCATTGTCATCAATCTTGTAAAGCTTTCAAGTAAAATTAGAATGGCATCTCAAAAGTATAAAATAATATCAGCAAAATGTCTTCCGGCTGATATCCTTCCTTTAAATAATTTCATAAACGAAGTATTTATCATGTAACTACTCATAAATCAACATTCTGCTGTGTCACTTTCAACAACCTATCTGCTATCGAAGTCTTGTGCAATTACTTCTAATTGGAAAAATACTGAAAATTACTGAAAAATGATTTAGGTTTTGCAAAGATTACTATTACAAGTCTACTATTACAAGTAGCCTAGAGATTTACATGCACTGCATTTGACAACGATAGCACTAAATTTTATTACTCTATCGTCCATTCTTTTGTCAGGACGAAAGTTCGAGAACAGGAAATTAAAGGAACAGTTAGAGAAATTAGAGGAACAGGAAATTAGACTTTGACTTGCGATTAAATTATGATCACAGTAATAGTCAAAATCCTAGCTGACTTGTGTAAACAGTATTAAGTTGATCATTGTTAATGCCATGTCGTATCGTCATTCTTTGTGCTATCTTGCTGAGAGAAAAAAAACGAGTTTTCTGTTGGTATTGTAGTTTAAATTGAAATTTCTGAAATTTGTCCATAATTTCTGAAATGTCTATTATTCTAGACCAAAAATATTATTTAGCAATGAGATGTCACGAGGACATATGGTTTATTGCCGAAGAAGAGACTAACTCGGCAACTTCTGATTTCTTAGAGGTAATAACCACGGCCAACTCAGTCCGGGAATGTGCTGAAAAGTGTTTCGACAGTTGTTGTAAGGTATGTTTATTTTGCTTTGTACATGGCAAATTATTAAGAGGGAAAATTGAAAACACTAATTCTACTAGTGAGTGAATGTGAGTACTCCATATTCAGGAATAAACTTGTAATCATATCACTAGACTGTCCAACGGAAGAACTTCAATTCGAATGTCTGTTATAAATTTCCTTTCGTTCCAGACTTGGAATTTCTTGGTTGCAAAAAAGAAAAAAGTCAACAATAACATTTACTAACAAAAAAAGCCAACAAAGTTAACCAACAAAATAAACTTTTTGCTGGTTTCAAAATATTTCGACGATATTTTCAATTCGAAAAATGAATTAAAATTGCACAGAGTTCCTCTAGTTCTCACAGGATTTCGTTAAATTAATGAAAATAACATAAACATAGAAACATAGGATGAATTGAAAGTTTTACAGACGGCTGTCTACTCAAGTGTCGGAAAAAAATGTCAATTTATAAAGGAAAGTAAAATTAGAGATGGTGACAATTGTGAGATGAAGTCTTTTTCTTCTTACGTCGATCAATATGGTGGTTATTTATTTATTTATTTATTTATTTATCTTTTTGTTATGTGAAAGCAAAATGTATTTATTCGTCAACATTCCTTTTTAAGACTTGCATTCAAATTTTCTTATGCTATGATACTTAATGTTTTCGATTTAAATTGTACTTTCGAATTGTGATATATTTTAAAAGCATAAAGGAAAACAACAATAAATACAAATCAGTTTGAGATTCACTGATACTCATTTACGCTTGGAAGGGTAATTAACTAATGCCCTTGCATGGTTACAAAATTCGACGAAAATTTTCTAATTTACATTTGCCCTTTTTTTAAAAATTGGAAGTATATCAATCATAAGTTTGAATTTTCCTTTAAATGTATTGTTAAGAATCTAATCGGACCAAAATAACATGTGTGACGTGTGGTTTATCATCATTGCAAAACAATCTCCATATGTTAAAAGTACCGGAAGGAGATTTTTTGGATACAGGTAACTGTTTTGATGAATCAAAAGTTAAAAAAGATGAGCTTAAAAAAGATATCCAGTTAGTTATCTTGTTTGAATATCTTTTAAAAAATAAAATAAAATGTTGTAAACAATTAGGAGAACCATATGACAGAAATATCCGTAAGATTAGAGGGAAAAAGGACAGCATGCATGCATGACAATCATGCAACCTACTGCATCTGTAGGACACTAAATCTTTGCGGTGCGTCGATTTTCTCTTAATTTTCAAGATTGACGTTTCCTTCTTTTTCTTTTTTTTGAATTGGTGTTAATAAATTATTTTTCGAGCAGCTTTTGCCTCTTTTAAAACGTATTTTTTGATTCTTGCATAGAAAAATAGGACTAAATGACGATTTTAAGTATTGAAGAATTCAACGTTGCAAATTTAACGCTATTAGTCAATTAGTCATTTCAGTGGGATATGTTTAAAAAACAGCTATGCTTCTACTTGTTATGTCGTACTTCAGACATATTTCTAAATACTTTGGCATATCTTCCTTTATAAGAAGAGTATTTACAGAAGATTTAAATTTCTAAAAAAGTTCATCCATCTTTAACAGTGTAATTTCCGAAACAAATTTTTTTAACTTAAATTTAATCATTCCCTTCAATATGTATAACATTCTTTTAAAAGTATAATGATAATTTCTGAAAGTATCCACGCAAAACACGAAATGTTTATCGTTTATAATTGGTATGTCATGCCGTTTAATTGCATTATGATAACTTGTTGCGAGAGTAGTGAATTTCTCTTAGCTATTCTACTGTTAATTTTGATAGATTGAATATTGTATCTTGCTTCATTACTGCTTTAAAATGTTTCGTCATTAGCCAAACTGATATCATAATCGTAATCAGACAAAAGATTCGCACCACATTCATTCATTGTGGACATTCACAGCAAGTGATGATACATATGAAACGAAATGATGGTAATTTAAAGTAAATAGAGGTCATTCTGCACAAAAATCCATACGCTTTAAAAAAAGTCCTTTTTTTTACATAATGATAATAATGAAATTTTCGATGGTCATAGTATATGTGAATAAGATCTGTAACAACGGTTAGGAGAAGAATGAAAGAATAAACTTTCAGAAAAGTCAGTACAATTGAGGAAAAAAAGCAAGCGTGAGGAAGTTGGAAAAGTAGCAGAATCTGAAGAAGTATCTCAGTCTAGCAGTTCCGAACAACCTATGATGGCTTCAGCAGTTGATACATCCAGTTCCTCACAAGATAAACCACAATCACCATTTGATTCTCAATTCATGAAAATGGGTATACATCATTCCATTTCATCCCTTTTTTAATTCTTTGATTTTTCGAATTATGCAGGGGTAACTTCCTGAATTATGTTCCACTCCAGCAAAAGCTAATTTCAGCCTGCATCGTTGTATTTGAAGTCGATCCGGAAGCCAATATGGCCAATTTCATAGCTAAAGATAGTATTAAAGTTGACAGGTGACGCTTGGAAATTTAGTCCAATTAGCCATTCATCGATCGTGAAATATCCTTTGTGAAATATGCATCATAGTTAAAAAGTTTACGGTAATCTTAGTGATCTACAAATGATTCGTTACGGGGAATCTCTAAAAGTTCCTTAAAAATGTATTTACATTTTAAGCGGATCTAATTTAATTTATTCAAAGTTTTTAACGGAATTCCAGGACATTTGAAGCGAGCTTGAGAATTATGGAATTAATGTAGAAAAACGAAATTTCAGAGCTGATCATTGCGCGTACCTCTGCTACCGAGACGCCTGCAGCGCAGCCATCTTTACGCCAGCAACTGCTCCTGGTAGCAAAGGTACCTGCGAAAGACGATTTGATATTGCGGAGAAGTGTAACGCCACGCTGAATAGGGATTACTACTACAAGACTACCAAGCCTATTCACTTGCAATGTTTTAGATGCCGTAAGCTTCAAAATCTTTTATTATTTGTTCTATAACAAAATGTAGATCCAAAGTAAATAATAATTTCTACCAATCCTTCCAAAAATTTTTCAAACATAATGCAGATTTCATTTTCTAACATTTTAGAGCTATCAAATTGTTACAAATATATTTCAGTTCCCGAGAAACCACAAACGAAACCATCACTTGAAGCAATTACCCCACAGCCGGAAACATCGCTTGTCACACAGAAGAAGCATTCATCTGAAACAACAACTGTAGTTCAAACTGAAGAGAGTGATGGGTTGGTTAAAACCACATTGATGCATGATGTGGAACTGAAAATGGCTGAAATGGAACCGGAAGAAATCGAAGAGAAAGAAAAGGATGTGGGAATTACTGCATTTGACGTTATCAATAAAGACATAGAGATGAGTACTGTCGTCGAAGAAAGTAAGGACAAATTTATACAGGCAGAGGATACTAATTCGGTGGAGACCACTCAAGCACTCATAACATTCATTGGAAATGAGCAAACACAAGCATCCATTGAAAATATTATATTTGGACCGGACGTTGAAACTGAAACATTCACAAAAGTAATTTCGACTAGTACTGAAGACATAGAAATAACGACAAGCGAGTCAGCCATTGGGTTATTGACCAGCGACTCGACATTTGAAAGTCATTCAGCAACTCTTAAAACTGAATCCGTTTTATCTACCAATCATGTAACTGGAGTTGGAGCACAAACTACTTTCGAGCATGGATCAATAGGTGCAGCGGGGTCAAAAATACAAGCACTCGAATCCGTACACCAATCCAGTCCAAAAAGTGAAGAATTTACTTCGGCTACTACAGAAGAATCTAGTGCTTGGCAAAAGGTAACATCAGAAGCAAGAGCAAGTGACGATACATTGCAGCGTGAACATGAAGCTGAAATAGGATATGACACAACAGAACTTACGCGAGCAGATGGTACAGGAAGTAAAGTTGGGGAAGCAATGACAACACCTACGATAGGGACCATCGAGAAAGGTGAAAGCGAAGTCGAAGAATTCAGTAGCAGTGTAATAATGTTAAGTTCCACAGGTGTTGGAATTGATGAATTCAGCGTAAAACCAAATGTAAGCTCGATAAAAGCCAAATTAAGCAAAGGAACGGAAGCAACGCGGATATTCAGTGAGATAAAGCAGGCTACATCTGAAGGTCACACCGAAGCAATTTATACTGGTGGAAGCACAGAAGCAAAGTCATCATATCCCGAAGAACAAGATGAAGCAACAGCATCTTCAGATTTATCCACCGCTTCATATAAGTCCATATCTGCTATCTCTAAACAAAAGAAAAAAACTGATGGATTACCATCAAGAGATGTCACCGAAGCTCACATATATCTCCAAGGTGTGTTATTTCTTTCAAGTTACGGTTGTGATCCGTTCACTGTAATGGACAGTTACTTTTGGAATACAGTGCCTCCTTGCTGACCATTCAATGAATTAGTTTTAATCTCATTTCTAATATAGGTTCAACAGACATATGTGTTCTTTAAATTTTAGCCATAATTATAGGATGTATCGTAACTTTCCAAGCGGATCCGCATAGTAAACGTCCCGCGGAATCTCCCGCTGGCTTCCAAGCCTCAACAATTGCTCAAACTGTAGAAGTTTGTGCTGGAAGATGTTACCAGGTTTGTTTTAATTTTTAATCAAATTTCCAATTAAACAGATTTTACAAAAATGAAATAAAAAGACTTACTCTCCAATTCCAGGATGGTTGCACTGGTGCCAAGTACGATCCGTTGAGCAAAGAATGCATCCTAAGCTATAGCGGCAAACAAATTTGCAATAACGGACCAGAGCATTTTTTTTATCAAGCCAATGAAACCACTTGGATTCATTGTACCGGATGTCGTATGTTCATTTTGAGTCCAACGGAAAAATATTCGGGCCATTTTTGGTAATTGAAATTCAGTTCCAATTTTATGATCTTACAATTTGATTTCGAATTTGAAGTTTTCAGGACAGCACAAGCCAGGAGATCAAGGTATCAACATAATGGTGCATCCAGTTAAAGCAAAAAGTTCGTTTTCCAGTCTTTTTTAGATTAGAATTTCATGATGGTTGATGATTTTCTTCGTGAAAAAATGAGAAAATCCTGTAATGAAACAATCGATTTTTGTTCCTATTTGAAATCGATATTAAATACAATCAAGATCTCATCGTAGCGTTTTCTAAATATGCAAAATAACTGAACTATAAATGTAGAAATATTGGAATTTTCGGCAGCAAAGGAAACTGCCGTTTAAAGATACTGCAGTGAGTGACACAGCGACATTGTTTTCTACAGAGGTACCAGAAGTTAAATCAATCAAATCAGACGAAACTCCAATGACAGAATCAGGAGTAGCGTCGGAAACGAGTACGCAAGAAGATGAAAAAAGTACGGAACAAGCAATAGAAAAAGTAATGACTGAAACTTTATTATCATCATCATCATCATCAACAGCAACAGCAGTAGTAGAAGAAATTTCAACAGAAACAGCAAAAGTTTCAAGAGCAACAGAGGAAGCAACTTTCGTGAACACTTTGGAAAAGAAAACAGGAATACCGGAAGTGCAGCTAAGCATTGACACCATTCCGACATCAGCTGCTGCTATAAAGGGCGAGGAATTAGTGAGTAAGGAAGAAATACCGATCACCGCTGCACCGCTCCAAACAACCCTCTTTGGACATGGCAAGTTTTTGTTTTAGTTTAACAAATGCATTATATCATGAATGGCTCTCAAGTTCACGAGCACTGAAGTAGCAAAATAAGCTCACGTTATCCGTGATTGTCTTCTTTTCCATGCACCAACAAAAAATGCACAAAATTCAGCCGCGTATCGTCGGTCCGCTCTCATACATCTCGATTTTCCGCTCAACACAAATCGATTACCATAGTTCCTTTCAGATTGTAGCGTTTTATTCCAAGCTAGACCCATCGACGGCCATCCCAAAGAGCTTATCACCGAATTGATTCCAGTAGGTGCAACACCCACAGTAAAAGAGTGCGCTAAACGTTGTTATATGGTTTGTAATTAATTCTATGAAACTGTGCGCAGGAAATTTTGACATTCATCTTTGAAGATGAAGACTTTCATCAGGAAAATTTACTGAATATTCCTCTCTTTAAAATTGAATTTTTTAAATTAAGTTTTCAGGTAAATTTTTGGTGCATAAAATGAGAATAAATTTTAGGATGGATGCACAGGTGCAAAATTTGATCCGGTAAACCTGGAGTGTTTATTAACATTTGAAGATTATCATCAATGTGACGAAAATGAGCAACAACACCATTCATTGGAGGCTACCGAAACGTTGTGGATTCACTGTATTAGTTGCAGTAAGTTAATTTTTTTTCACCCTGTTTTTCCTTTTATTTTATTTCTACTTGCTATGATTTTAAACTTTACTGAAATCAAACTTTATTTCAGAGAAGGAATTCACCGAAAGCACTTTAGGCTTATTGGTTCAAGATGCAACTACTTTGCCAGGTTGATTTATGAACTTGAAATCCTTCTTGAACTTGAAGAGCTGTTAAAAATTGTTGATTTAAAAATTAGCTCATATCTGCTTTAATATCTTATTTCAAATAATAGCCAAGAAATCAAAGGGAAAAGATTTTTTTCAGCAACTGATGAAGGTTCTTTAGCTTCGGAACCTACAAAAGTTGAAGAAAATTTTCTGACAAGTGTAAGTCCGGATATAAAACTGGAATGGACAGAAGAAGTAGAATCAGCATTTGCAAGTGATTCGGGTAAGACAGCCGACAAATCAGCTGATGTGCTGCCTGAACCATCGGTGGGACTAAAAAGCACTATAAAGGAAGGTGAAGAAATACTTTTTGCAAGACCACCATCCTTTGGAAATGAAAGTATATTCCAAGTGGAAACCAAAGAACAAGAAGTTAGAAGTGAAGAATCTGGAGAAGAATCCAGTTCCGCTTCTACTGTTGTAGCTGTAGAAGAAGAAGAAGAGATTTCAAGATCACCAACATTAAAATCATCAGTGGAGTTGTCTACAAAACACTTAGAAATGGAAACAACTTCAACCGCGGCTGACGTCATGGAAACATTCATTGAAACAAGCGGTGATGAATTAGAAACTATAGTTCAACCTGATATTTTGATTTCATCGACTTTACAAACACCATTGAACGTTCCCACTGATAGTTCGGAACTATCAAATATTAGTGGAGAAATTTCTGAAAGTAGCGTCGCTTCTTCTGTTGTTGAGAATTCAACCACCATTCCTCAAACAAGCACAATTGAATCTGGCGAACGGAAGGACCAGAAGAAAGCTACTGTCGAATTTCAAGAAGAAGCTGAACCGACAGCTATTTCAGCAGAAATCACCGTTATGCCAACATCTATTAATGGAATAACGGATGATATCGTTGGAGCTGTAGCCAGCATTGTTGCAAACATCTCAAGTAATGTGCCGAAAACTGATATGAAAGAAATGACCCGTATGCTAGAAGGTTCGAGTACAAAAACTAAGGGAACTGTGCCATTCGTTGCACTTAAGACAACCGTAGAATCACGCACTGAAGCAACTTCTGCTAGTATTGACGGAACATTCCACACAGATATTACTTCATCGATTATAGAAGAAACTGCATCAATAAAATCAGATGCTGGAGTAACGCCTGAGAAAGTAGGCGACGTTCCATTATCAGATATGACTAAAGCAACAACCGCTGAAGTAGTTGGCGAAGTAATGTCTGTCGCAGAAGAAACAAGCACTTCCATAAGTATCGAAGAAAATACTGAAGCAACATTAGGACTTCTAGAAAAAACATCTGATGGAGTTTTGTTCTCCAAACCAGTTCCAAATTCAATAATGAAGCAGCCATTTGTGCAAGAGAATGTCGGTGACATCATCAAAAAGATTGCTCAGACAAAAGATATTTTCGTGACTGATATTAAGACAGTGGTGGCAGATGCAGCAGTTAAGGAAGAAGTGGTTGAGAAATTGGAAGAAGAAAGTCAAGTTGTAAGTGAAGCAATCAAGGATTCAGCGAGTGTCGCTAATAAGTTAGGAAATGGAGGTTAGTATATATTTAATTTTAAGGCAGAGAAGCCAAATTTTATTCATACTATTTTGTCCCCTGTAGTTGTACACGTTACTTTTTTTATTCTCTTGGGATCTACAAGCGATTCTGATATAATCTTCAAAAGATTCATTAAAAATCCAAGTAGTAACCTGTTGTTTAGGTGAACTTATGACGACAGAACCGCCCGTGCAAGCGGTCTCAGATTTGATCAGTGTTTTGAGTCATAATACGAAAATTGAAGAAGTGATTGGACGCAAGGAAAAAGAAAACGGTATTTAGGTTTTTTTAATAAACCAGTTTTTAATTAAAATAGTTATAGCTACTGAATGTGCTACTAATCCTTAATTCATAATTAATAGAAAACAATTCGCATAGTGGATTGCTCTTTCAACCCTTGAAAACCGTTGATATAGAAATGTAGCCCGCTGATTCAGACTACTAACTCTTTTTATAATCAATCACGGAACAGAGCAGATAATAAATGATTGTAGTTGGATATTATAATAGATTAAAGTTCGTTTGAAGTTACTTTCGAAATGGGCGAAGTCTTAGCGAATTGAAATTTCGTGTATTGTTGAAGATGCGTTTGTCGTTGATGATGTGCCCGTAACAAAAGATGTTGATGAGCGAATGATGACGGCAGGTGTTGTAATCAATAAACTCCAAAAAGATATCGCCAAAAATTCTCTCCAAAACATCGCTAAAATAAAACCTTTTGAGGGTAAATTTCCATATGAAGTCTTAAATATCACTAGCTCATAATCATTAACTGCTTTAAGGATGTTCTATTAGAAAATTTCGATAAACTCTTAACATATCTTTTCACTGCAAATTCTATCACGGCTTAAAAATTGCTGTTTTTCTGGAAATTTCGTTTTTTAAAAAATTTTTATGAGTTTTACATTATAGTTTGGTCAATAGTTCTCCTTCAAGAAGTAATCGAAAACCTTTCGCCTTTTAATGTGTTTTCCGCAGATGTTATGTGCATACAGAAGGCAAATTGGATATATTCATCACCAAATAATATTAAAAATGTTTTCATACATTGTAACTATGAGAAATAATTTCGAGCCTCTGAAAAAATAGCAGAAGGAATTGATTATTGCAGGAACACCTACTGAATGTCTCGGCCGAATTGAATTCGAAATATTGGCAATAGAAGATCTCTCACAGCTAAATATCACCAATGAGACTGCTGTAGAATCACCAGCTGCATGTGCGATGAAATGCTACAAAGCTGTAAAATTTTATCATTTTTGCAAAACATTTAAAAAAGGTATATGATTATCAGTTTATTTGCTGAGCAAATTTGCACCACTGAATTCTTCTCTAAGATCACCAGTATGCATCCTTTTGTAGTATTATCATTATCTTATTAGCATATTTCTTTGCAGGAGTTCTGTTCTTAGTTAGGATAAATCATTTGAAGGTAAACTGTCTTCTCGCAATATATAAGGAAAGCCAAAATGATGAATCAACAAGTGCAGTATGTATGCTGACAAGTAATTCTGCTATTTGCTCATCAGAGAAGAAATTCATACCGCAGCACAAGTCCGACCTATCACCAATCATCATCAGCTGTTTAAAATGCACCAGTACGCGTAATCTTTCTTCATGCTCATAATGTTCTGAAAAAAGCTTTGGTCTTCTATCACGATCGCTACGGCGTCTTAAGTCCTCGTCGATTCGGTGCTGGTTTGTTAAATCTCAACAATGAAATTAAGAAATTCATTGTTGGTTTTTCCAGAATGCAATTATGTCATCAGCACGATGACGGAATTAACGAGGATACAGCAGGGAGAGACAGTGGAGCCAGCACTTTCAATCGGACAATGCGGTGAGATATGCTGGAAACATAACTGTACCGTCGCTCAGTATGATCATAAATCGAACCTCGTAAGCATCTTGGAACTTAATTTTCAAATTTAAAATCATTGATTCAAGTCAGTCAATCTGGTTTATAAGAATCTCAATAGTTCAACTTATTTTTCTCGTAGTTTTCAGCACTCATGATAACTTATACATTGAAAAACCCTTACAATATTTTCAAAGACTATGTGATAACCTGCTATTGCTAATTATATCAGATTTTCAGTGCTTATTAACATCAATGAAAAATCAGCAGGATTGTTCTCAAGAGACACCAATAGTAGTAAACGGAGATGAACCGGTTTTACTGGAATGCGTCCGCTGTTTCACTTAATCTATGACAATTTAAGCTACTGTATGTTAAAGCATAGCAAATTCTTCATATTCTCATCAATGTTCCTGCCTTCAATATATCATATTCAGTGTTTCCCACAAAGAAAATCATTAATTCTATTAAAGTTGATCCTTAAGAGGTCACATACGGTCACAAGTAGAGAAAGTTCACATACGCCATTCTATTAAAAAAATCAGAAATCTTTCTGGACAGAAGAAATTCATTTCATTTCAGCATTCTCCAAAATTTCGATATGTTTGTTAAATAAGGATATTACTCGAGTTCATTGTTTTATTTGACTGCTGTCAGTTTAGGTACTTTATATACATTATACATTATACAATTTAGGTACATTATATATATATGATAGATAGATATAAACGATATTTGCACGGGTGCGCGGAAGACAGGGAGAAGGATTATTCCATTCGAAAATTATGACAAAATCTCTGAGCTAACGTTGCTTCTTCCATACTAGAAGAATAATGTTTCATAGTCCTTTCAGATTGGGGCATATCAAATGCCAAACAATTAAATCTGATATTGTAATGGAAATAGTTCAATAAAACAAAAGTAATGTAATATCGACTAGATCATCTCTCAATTCTAATCGATGCATGGATCAACGTCTTTTAAATATTTCCATTTTCTTCTTCATTTTATCATGTGATAATAAGTAATCGAATGCTTTCATATCATTTCCAATGTTTGTTATTCTCCTTCTACATATTATTATTGTTATTATATTGATACTATGATACGTCCAATAAAATTATTTGCTCAATTTTAAAACTTCGATAGGATAAGCCATCGTGATGGACAAATGGATGCATTTTGTCTAGCATGACACAAGCATATGGCCATGTCTTCTTTACCCAAACAAGAATAACAATTTCGAGGCAGCAGTTATCAAGAATAAGCTAGCAGCTAATAAACGGGAGTAAAAATGAATCTTGAAGTAAAAAGAAAAATAGAATTGTTCTTATCAGTGAGATAAGATACAGGATGATTAAAGTTGCAAAAACTGAAAGTTGGTGTGATTTTTTATTTTTTATCATCTGAGATTTGGTCGGATTTCCCTTCAGCTGTAATCGTTCCTTCACTTCCAGTTTGTGGTTTCAAACCCATAAATTGAGAATGTGCTGACGAAGTTGACGGTCCTGTTAGTGAGTCTGATGAATTCAGCGATTAATTTCAATTTAAAAAATCTTTAGCTTTCATGTTTCGCTGTAAAAATTGCTTAAAAAAACAAACCAATCGGTATGGATTGTGAAGTGTTGAGAGGAGTTGTGTCAAAGTCAGAAGAACTGCTACCACGGTTTAATGATCCAACGCCAGTCGTTGTCTCCGACTTAAAATCATCATTGTTATTGTTCGTTAACGATATATTCTGAAATTTCACCGAATGAAACATGGAAAATATCAGCAAGAGTAATCTGTCCACTTTTGTTATTGGTAAGGATTCCTCGAAAAGCGAGGAAGGCAGAAAGTATATTCTAAAAGCCTCTCCAGAAAAAGCCTCTGTTTCTAATTATTCCTTATGTTTCGCTCAAAGCAGATCTTGGCCAGTTTATGCATTTAATGTGTTATAATGGGTACATTATAATAATGGGTACATTATATGGAAGGATACTTTTTTTTGCACAACTTATTCAATTGACACTTAAGCACTAAAGCGTTAATTGAATAAGTGGACTAAGTGGAACAAAAAAGGTACCAGCGAATAAGTTAAGCAGAAGATATATCCAGTCATATAAATATAGAGAACTGCGTTAATATAAAAATACATATGAATATTTTTAAGTATTCCCACATACTTAAATCTAAGCCTTTCAAAGTAAACCCACCTCACCAGTATCCAAGTTAGGGCTCAGTGTTGGATTGCCATATAAGTGAACCGATGCTAGCTGAAATAATTTATTTTGAAATACGTAAAAATTTTTCAAATTCTATTCCATGGATGAATTCGGACACATAGCATTTATCATTAACGAAGCAAAAGAAAAAGAAAGTTCACATAATTTGTGCTAAAAGATATCCTGAAAGAAACAATCAAACCTGAACACGCAATTTGGCAAGGAAACGTCTCATTAGAACAGTAATTTCATCAATTTCATCTACTGATGGTGTACTTCGAATTGTGCTATTAATACTTTTCATTGATGGTACATTCCTAATTTGCTCCAATGTTCGCAGTGCTTTGTCCAAATTTTCAATCGCCTACAGTTCGTTCACAGATTAAATTAAAAGGAAGCGAATAGAATATTTCTACGTAAAATAAAATAAGAAATGACGAAATTTTAATGTGTATGCTTTAATTCAATTTGAACCCAACATTTTCTTATTTATTTAGAAACAAGGTTTGAATGGTTACTTTTTGGTAGCCATCGATTACTTCACAAACACCATAAAAGCTTTTTTTGGATCGTTCACTTGTCATTTTGACAAAAGGCTTGCCAAAATGGATATTCATCTGCTTGGTGAGCTCAGCATTCAACTTTTGTTCTTTCTTTGTTAACGCTTTCAACTATTATAATCAAAAAATAGACATAAAAGTGACAAGTTTTGGCTCTAAAAAAAGTCAATCATTATGACAATTCTGCGTAAAAGTGAAAGATAAATTCAATAGGAATGTATAGCCACTGAAACGTCAGATATTTTGGTTGGTTTTTTAAGATTAAATTATTACCCGAGCATCGATATCCCTGATCTTTTGTTTGTCGAGAAGAAGCTTTTCATCAAAGTTTTTGGTGCAACTTGCAATTTTTTCCAACTCACCGATCCCTCCATCGATCTTTATAGCGCGGCGGTTGAGACTTTCAAATTGTTGCTTTGAAATCTTCACATCTTTACAACTGCATGTTGCTGAAGCTTTGGGTGTTATTTTATTTCTGAAATTTTAAAATGTAGACTTACTGGCCAGCAGAGAAACTTTTTTTTGGCTGCATCTTTTCCACATCATGTTTTTGGTGAAGAAATATAATTAAACTGTTTCGTTCATAATGTAATCTGTTTTCTGTATTTTCGTAGGATAGTCATTTTGTGCAGATTTGTCCTCAAATTAATAAAATTCTAATAGAATCATTAACGCATCCACAAACGTCATCCTCCTTTTCGATAATTAACTATAAGTACTGCTAATGAAACAAATAGAAATAAACTATGCATTATGAAATTTCTTAAAATTTTTTCAAATTCTCTGAATCTTCCAATTCATTATTTCTGTAAATGATAAACGAATTTGTTTGCTGCACTCATCCACTTCATTTTTATCACTTTTTGGCTCGGACGGGTATTTTTTTGTCTTCCATTTTACTGTCCTTTCATTTTACTGTCCTAGTTTGCAGTATTATACATGAAGTAAACCTATTTTTTGTCAATGAAATGTTATTTTATAATCAAATGAACTCAATTAATCGTTAACCAAACTTGACACTTTTACTTTAGATTAATAAACGCACAAAACACGAGCATTTTCAGTCTCTTTTATCAACCGATTGTATTTGTCGAGCCAGCGTTTGTGCTGTTCTTCCAGTTCTTTGCTCCATGTTGCTTCAATATTATCTAGCCGATCTTCAAGCTTCAAAGGCGTTTAATACATTCAGTGATAAACTCTTTTTAAAGTTTTTAAATCACATGAACATCAGATAACATCATTACCAATCCAGTCATATGTTCATATCATCGTTCTATGATTGTATCAATTAATTAATATCACACACACAAAAAGGCTAGAATATGGTATTGATAACTGTTATATGTTTTCGAAGTTAGGTGATACTGATCACAAAAACAGTTTCCGCAACTATCTGTGACTGTTATTATCACTTAGATACTCCTAAGCTTATTTTGGAACTAGCGAATTTAAAATTCAACTAAACCATGTGCATAGCATCTTGTGTCCTCTGATGCGTGTGCTCAATTCGTTTCTGGAGAAGGAGCAAATTCGAAGTTACATCATCATGAACCTGTAACCTGCTTCTTAGCAGTCTGAGAGCAAATTCGAAGTTACATCATCATGAACCTGTAACCTGCTTCTTAGCAGTCTGAGATGAAGAGATTTTCAAAAATAATAATCTTTCGCGATGAATTTACTCATCTGGCTGGAAGACAAAATAATGGATATCATAAAAGTATGAGGCGAGTTCACAGCATACTTCTTCCCATTACCTTTAGCTGTCGTGTTAAACTTTCAATAATCGCTCGCGCTGTTTCTAGATCATCTGGTAAATTACCCAGAGAATCGCCATCATTCTGTTTTTGTGATTATTTTAGAATATATTAAGCGAATTCAAATTATAGAATTGGTGAAGTGAAGCAATATTTGATAGTTTAGAAGTTCTGACAATTACTGCTTCCTTCACTATATGATGATTATGATGACAGCAACGTATTGAAAAAATAACTACAAAGTCATTTCCAACATAAAATCTTTATGATTTTATTTGACTGCATAATTCTTCAAAAGAATTTGTTAATAGAGAGAATAATAATCTTTTACAGAAAACTGGGTAGAGACTTTAAAATAACTCGATGAGCCTCGGCGGGAAGACATATGCTTTGAGATATAGTAAAATCAAGTACAGAACAATAGACCGATGGTTCCTCTGAGTGATACAAATGATGACTCAATTTAAATTATCCTTTTTATACATGTCAATCAATTTTCATACTCGATAATTTGAACCAATTTCGAAAACAAATTTTGTTGAATAGAATTCAAAATTCGCTTCTCCCAACATCCCTGTATTATTATCAAAGGCGTACAAACGAAAAAGAAACTCGTAATGAGTATGCAACTAAGAAGTGGTTTTCGAGAATAGCACTGCATTTACCATTATTCTGTTCATCATCCTGTAACTTCTTTTTATCATCATTTAAGTGACATTCCGTGTTGGCATCTAATTAAGTATCTATAAATCAAATCAAGCATTTATCCTAATCCCTCATTAATTTTCAGTCTTCACGGGACTATTATTAATGACATTTCTTTTTTTCAATTGCAGTATTTATCAAGATTTTTCAGTCGTAAACCTCAAATTTTCTTGTTTGTCATTCCTAATACTTTTCCCATCATATTTCACGAGGACCAAAAAACGGTAGAATGAAGAAGTGACAGAATATAGCTCACTCCAGTAATTATGTTCATGGAGAAGCAAGGTACTTCAATTGCCAAAATTTCATGTCGACAGATTTATAAAGGAAATCAGCAAGTAACTGTGTCTTTACTATTTCCCTTTGGAACATGTGTTTTGCCAGATCTATAGCGAATTTCTTGGCTTCATATATTTGAAATGAATTTAAGAAAATATTTCCAAATAAAAATTTTCCGCAATCAGTGGTTTTTAAACGAAGATCGATTCTACACCCTACACTTTTAGAACAATTTCACAATATATTTGAAATTGTGGTTGAGCATCAAAATTGAGGTATTTCGAGATTTGAGAATCTGACTAAGATTTTGCTGTGGATGGTTTTACATTTGCTTGGAAATAGTTACTATTTAGTAGAGAAAGTCAGCAGACTATAAAGCTAAAAGAAATGAAGAAACGTAAGAAATCTTTTGTTGACAACATTTCAAATGTCAGCTTGAGAGATTTATCATTTTCCGATGGTCCTATTCATCAACAATATCAGATCATAAACAAGGTAAAGAAAATGAAGTGAACTGAAAACAATGAAACCGGTATTTTAATCTTATTTCTACAAATACTTAAAATACTGCAGTTGCACGAAGGGATCTTATAAACTGATTCCTATAAATCTACTATGAATATGATGGTTCGATAGTTGGACTCCTTTAAATTAGTAGTTATATTGAACAGTCGCATAGAAATTACCAAACTCCCCAGTCATTGTCCGCAACAGACATTCCGATGTAACGCTTCAATTCTTATTTTGAATCAAAACGCACAACTGTGTCTCTTCTTCACTGCGAAATTTTTGCTCCGCGTTTCTACACCAAGTACACTTGGATTTTTATTATGCAAAATGTTGTTTAACAAATATAAAACTGAAACTGAAAACGAAATTTCCCGAAACAAGGACAGAAACAACCATTAAGTGTCAAGTATATGCAAACTTCTGTTAGTTTCGTAACAAAAATTAGAAATCTTTCATTCCATTCTATGAATTCTTGTAACCAACACATTACCCAGTGACAAATTACTTCTCGATGCTATCACTGTATCATCTTTTCGACTTGCAAGATCTACCGAGCACAATATAGATCCCTACAAATATTCTAAAATAAAATTCACGAAAAACAAAAACTTTGTAACTTCAACTGCAATCTTTTAAACGCATTGGACCTTTCTGACAGTTTATACTTTTTGATACTTTTCATTATTTCCTTCAGTTAATTTGTTATAACTTATTTTAGCAGCATTCAGCATCACGATATAATAAAATCTATTTTCATAAAGCTACCGACTATCCATTCAGATAATAATATATAAATTGCAATAGCACTTACTTTCAAGCGCTGTAAATTTGACAACATTACAGATATTGAAACACCATCGTCACCATCTTCTATTATCCTCTCTGCTGACACATCGACATTCTGGAATTCTCTATAGGATTATGTGGAAAACAAATGATAATACAAACAAAAAAACAAAGTCCAATAAGTAGCAACTATCTCTTTAGAAATCTCTAATACCTTCTCATATTTAAATTCCAAAAAAAGTTCAGACATTTCCGAGTTTTTGTAACAATTCTTAAACGGAAATCAAATTGAGAAATGTTTGTAAAGACTCAGAAATCATCTGGGCATTTAATTCTGCTAGCGCCTTAAGTTTTTCATTTTGCTTAAAAAGCTGGCTAAAAACAAACCTTGGAGAAACGTAAATGTGCAACATACGAGAATTTGGTAGATAATAGTTCCGAACTTTCCGTACCGTTTTCATCGGACAGATCACTAACACTACTAAATATGTACACTTTGTTTGTGAAATGTCCAACATAATCATACCAAATGGTAACAAGCATGTTTTGATCCGTAAATCGTATATTTGTCGGATTCGGCAACTCTGCAATAAATAAATGGTTTGGTGACTTCTATTTTTTTTAAACTCTTTCACTAAGGAAGTGTATGACTTTTAAGTTTTCAAATTTTGCAACTGGTTTAAAAGGTTTTGCATGCAGCAAAATGCAAAAAGCATTTTTGAATAAACAGTTGAAACAATACAGGCCCTCTTGTTTTTTCATTCTACACTACTTTCCTTTAGAAAGTGGAAGAAAGAAAGCCCATTACACGATGTTGTTAAAGATACAAACAGTATTCCAGCATAAATTAAAAAAAAAGAATACTGAAAAAAAAACTATGAATTTATTACCATGCAAGTAACGCCAGTAAAGAGTGTGACAACTGAAAGAAGTCGTATGACCATAACAAACAAGAGGATCTCGTAATCCACGAGGTAAAATTAAATTTGATCTAAGTTCCGGGATCTGCAGATCACAAATTCTAACATCATTTGAGATTTCTAAAAAAAGCAACCGAAGAAATCTTACAGCATAATTAATTTTAACATGGTGATATTGGTAATAAAAATTGCGTGAAGTGTCAATAAATCATTTCCTAAAAGAAAATAAGTAATCTCAAAGTAACATGCACACTTATATGTTAAATTTCTGTTTTCCTCAGCAGCATACTTCTTTGATTACTTCATAAGAATTATTTAAGGTTACCGATCGGCGATGATTTGAAACAGATAAAGAGCGGGAACAAATAATAAAAAGTTCCGTGATATGTTTGAACCCTTCCTATTATTGATACAAAACCAAAGTAGATGGCTTCCTAATGGATTAACAACATGAAGAAAAAAAAAGTTTAATTAAAATAAAGAAAAACCGAACGACAGCTAAATGAATTTGCATTGGTGGCGCATGCATTATTTTATATTTGTGGTAATTACCTTGGAATGTCTTTGTTAACATTTCGAGAACTGTTGCATCATCAGTTATATGCCGCAATAAATGCTTCATGAAAACACCATTCTTTTCTCCACGTACTTCAAAAGCACTAACCCCACTACTACTGAAAAGCACTGTGTAAAATAAAAACATTTTTTGCAGAAATACCAACGGAGAAATAAAATTTTCTTAAAATTTTGCAGAAATAAAAATATCTCCTTCTCAGAATTCCTTTCAGAAATTTGTCATATATTTTTTGAAGCGCAAAAGTTACGTCGCATATCCACAGACAGTGTTGCGTGCTATCTTTGGTATTTTTTCGATATCTGCATCGTCGAAACACCCCAAAATGCCAACGCATCTAAAGAATTGGAAAGTTTTCTCTTTTCCTTTAACTCCGTGTTTAAATAAACCTAAAATTTACTTGATGATCTGTCCTCTAAACGAGTGCTCGTAAATAAATAATACACTTAGTTACAAATAATGCATCATATTTAAGGTAGTTATGCCAGTTCTGGAAATAGAAAAATAATAAATAGAAAAGAAAAATAATTTTTCTTCTGCACATACTTCATATTTTTCCGACATATATCGAGGAGTATCAGATTTAAAGCTGGATGTGAATCTTCAAAAACGGAAAGAACCCACTCAACAGAAACACAGTCAACTATCCTGCAGTCAACACCTGGTGCATCTATCGCCAGTAGATAATTTTTTCCGTTCTTCTCAAAACCATGACCAACAAAATAAAATACAGCTAAAGAAATTATAATTATATGTCACAAATTATGAGAAATACAACATAACAGAGAAAAAAAGAAACCTCACCATACACTCCGTCACCAAGAAGTTTGCGATATTCTTTGATGAAGAAGTGCATTTCGGCAAGATTCAAGTCTCCAAGTGCAACAGTTTTGAAGCTATAAAAAGCTTAGTTTTATGAAGATCTAATCAACTCAAGATTTAAAAAGAAACATTCAACAAATAATTTGTTTTTCCTCACTGTTTACAAACTACTACTCTTTTTTAATCAGAAATTAAATTTGAAATTTTTATATCAAATCCCTAATCACCTATAATTTTCGAATCAGTGACAAAGACGAGTGTTGACCTTACCCAAGATTTTGCAAGGATTCTGCAAACATTTCGGCATCACAGTGAGGCGTGATTAAGCTCGGTAGATTAATGTAGTTGCAGTTGCTTATAATCAATGCAACCTTATCCGTAGCGATTAATTCAGCGTTCCATTCGCCTGAAAATAGTAAGTAATGAACAAAATTTAACAAAATCTGCTCGACAAACAAATCTAGAAGTATGAACAAATAGACTAGGTATATCTGGATTTAAGAAAGATCTATATTACCTTCATTTTGCATAGTTTTGCAGCAATCAGTCGATAAAGTCAAATTGTTGTATTTGGCACATAGTTCACAGGATTCCACTGTAACAAAAAAGCGGCAAAATTGTCCAAAAATGTAGGTAGTGCTTATTTTCAAATTTCGGGTTATAACAACTACTATTCAGACGTTAAACAGATTCAAATGTGAAGCGCAAAATCTGGCTGATGTGTGGAAATACCTTTTTAAAAAAATCTTTTCGCCGCAACCATACTTAAACTGATACCTCTCATATTTGGAGTTATGAATAATGACAAGTCCACTGGATCCGTTGTTAATTTTGAGTGAAATGTCTTTCCCGGTTTTCGGTAAAATGCCGAATATTCGAAGCCCTCCTCAATCTCATTCCATATCCTACACCTATACATCATATCTCTTCGACATCTGCATCTGAATTGTGCCAACTCATTATTAGAAATTTTTGTTTCCTCTCCCCTTTTTCCATATCTGATACATGTGTTAATTTTGAAGCTACTATCATTCTGCTTTTTGTTTTAAACAGTATTTCACACTATATGATAGCTTCCAGATTTCCAAATCAAAGATTTCAGCAATATTTAGACCATATAAAATGTAACAAGAAACCTAGAAATGACAAGTGCTTTTCCGTTCGAATGGTTTATATCCTTATCATTTTCCATCCACTGAAAACGAGGCCAAGGGAAACCACGAGCGTGGCAAAGAAGTTGCAGCATACAGTCATCAATACCCATCACTCTAATCGTAATCTGCTCTTCAGCTGACCACTTTACTGGTACTAGAAACATGTAAAATTTCAATATTTTCTGCAACTGACTCAGAATCGGAAAACTTCGAAAGTTCTCTGTAAAATTCCAAATATTCGAAATCGTTTCAAAGAAATTTCATGATCTCTGGATGTCAATTTCCTCTTTGTTGCTATTATGATCTTAGTAATAAACCAACCGAATTTGCGTCTCAATGCTAACTGAGGTCCATCCATACATGTCCCATGCATTTTCGAAAATGACTGAAGCCTCAGCAACAAATCTTTTATAGTCTGTCCATGATTGCCCCAGACATATAAAAGAGACGATCCTTGGTTTTTGGTCCGTAGAATACGATCATATTCGGTAACACTAAAAAAAAAACCAAAATTGAGGTTTTAAAAACAATATTTTTGATTAATTGACTATTATTCAGCATCAAAAAATTCAAAAATTATTCAGCATTCATATATTATCAATAAATAACGTAGTTGTTAATTATTCCAAAAATCAGCTGTCGATTCTCGTCTCACCCTCTTGACAGTCTTTTGTTTGCAGAAATGCATTGCCATCTAAGCTGTCATGAAAACCAAATATTTCATGCATGATGAAATCGATGTAGTTGACTAAACCACATATCGACCATTGCTCCATTGTATCCATCTTCTTCGTTTTCTGCTCCCACTCAACTTTTCATTCTCACCAAATATGAGCACCCTTTCGGGAAAAAGAAACAGCGTATTTTTTTTCCCGCCTATTTTTTTTTCTTCGAATATAACCAACAATGCTCGACACATCCTCTCCTCCGTTACTTGTGGATGAAACACGCCACATATCATCCTTAGCAGATTTGACCTCTCTTTCTCTTTTTGATTCGATATTTGTAATGTCATCTAACTGCGGAGGGGTTTTGCTTCCTCGAATGTGGTTTTAACTTGTCCCATTTTTTCCTCCTCTGTAATATCTTGATTCGCTTTTATCTTATATTCGTCAATGTCTAGGTTTTGTGCCCTCATAAATCATCTCTTCATAGTACACGTTTTCGACAGGAGTTCAAGATATGATAATGAAAAGGATTGTTTGATGTGATGAAGACACTCTGCCACTGGTACAGATTTTAAAAATGAATCTTGATAAAACAACATTTCTTCATTGCAACGATATGTGATGACCTCGAATATGAGTAATTCGATATTAACAGCAACTATACGCAAATAGAAACATGTAAAACTATTAACTCTAAAATTCCTGCACCCCAAACTTATAGCTGTGTTTTTAGTTTTGGTGTGTCGAGAACACCTCAAGCGTTTATAATGTGAAGCCCGCTTTATCTCAAAATCGTTTCACGTGAAACTCACGATTTAATCGAGGGAATGCCGCACTGCTAAGGTTTATTCAGAGCAGTCAATTGAAATGTAAAAGGAGTCACTCTCAAAATTTTTAAACAGCAACTAATTAAACCTTATGACATATTAAATTGGACAGAGAAAGAGAAGACGGAGATTACTTCCTCGATATGTCTCGTTTCTCGTCATTTGTCACTCTCTACTAAATATTTACATGCATTTATTTCTGGTTTTTGGCCAGTTGGCTTTCTTCTTGTCTTTTTTTTTCGAATGGGGTGAACAAGCGACCATTTAAAAGAATGTAAAACAGAAACAGCTAAATATGTAACAGTCGCATGCGCTGTTCATAATTTAATTAGGTCAGCAAACTGTGTTATGCATCGCAGAAAACCAGCCAACTATAAATTACGATAGTACACTCTGAGGAGATTAAGCAATGAATTCATCAAATGGATGTGAACATAGCTTGTCATATATATTGGGGAAAAAGTAATGAAAAAGTAGTAGGAAAACAGGAAAAAGTAATAAAAACACTTCATAAAGACATAAATTAAACCGAAAATTTACTTTAAACAGAATGCACTGCTCGTCGAATCTCCGATTATTTTCATCCATACATTTTGGAAATTCAACGAACTGGCAAGACGCCAATGCAAATCGCTTGGCAATTCAGCTAGATTAGTTGATAATTCGTATCCTATCGCTTGAGTACTGCGTTCAGACGATGCTGATAACATCTCTGATAACATTTAGAAGAAATGTCACCTACGAATTGTAAACCACACATCTAATGATTAAGCTTCAACAAGTGATGCAAAACTTCAAATCTCATTCTGACGTAGAAGGTATTGTTGTGAAAAGTTGGCTTTCACGTAATGAGTTTTTACGACTGCTATATCTTTTATACAGCTGATAACAATCAGTCTATTCATATCTCAATCACGCCGCTCACCTGGCTTATTAGTTGTTTGTCGTTGGTTCCACATCAAAACTTCTCTTTTTTCACATTATATTTTAAATCCCTAAGCAATTTCACTACAATGTAAAAACGACTGCAAAGAGAAGGCAGACTTCACCTTGAAGGAAAAAGAGAAGGAAAAAAGTGCAGACTTCACCCTAGAGAATGGTTGAAGCTTCTGAAGTCAAGATATAGACGGCAGGTTCAGAATCCAAGCCTTGCCTACTTACTGCAAGTTTAGGTCTTTCGCCAGCTAAACAAGAGCAGCAGATATTCTAACTTTATATATCGTAATTGAAACAAATTTAACAGGTGAATTAAGCAACTACACTGAATTATGCAGTTAGTATTTTATGAACACTAATATTTAACCAAAAGTAATACCGCTGACGTTGCAATTTATGAGCAAAAAACAAATATAAGAAGCAAATTAGATACCGTAGTTGCATGACAAACGTAATGACAAGGATGAGAAGTTGCACACGGCACCGCTGTTGAAATCGGTGCCGTCACTTCGACGTTCACATGCCCGTGTCATCTTGGCCAGGACAGAGTGAAAACTTTTGTCCTAGGTATCATTTATAAAGTCTTCAATGGTGCATCCATAAGAAAAATGCGGTGTTTAGAAAGGGTGTTATGTGAGCTGGAATAAGTTTTACCACGAATCCTAGAGAACATGGAAAAGTAGGTTCATTAGTCTTCTATGCTGGAAGTATTCCCAAGGCAGCGCCTGTCGCTCACCTACCGCAATTCCAGTTTTCGGTGAAGAAAATTGGTATTTGCGATGTCACAGTCAACCTGCATACTTTGTCAGAATTGAGGTAGGATAGTCCGTATGTTCTCAGATAACCGCTTCAGCACCAGACTGGACGAGTATCCGTACAGATCACCAACCCAACTAGACAACTCAAGTCCCAATACCCACCCGCACAACTATTCTAGATCGCATATCCACCTTTCTTCACACCTAAACGACTCACGCTACCGTAGTGCCCATTTGATGCTTATAGCGATTTCATCTTCCGTGCGGTTGCTTAAGTGCCCTGGCAAGCATTCAGCACTGTGCTGTGCATGTCTTCCTTTGCAAAGCGACTGCTCAGAGTTTGGAACAGCTGAGAGTGGCTGCAATAAAAGAGGGAGCAAGGTTGTTAGAGTGCACTAAGTGCAGTTGCAAGCATCTGCACTGCATGACGTCGTCAGAGTGGGGTCAGAGTGCATTCAGTGCAGTTGGGAGGCATTTTCTTTATTTTATTGGGTTGTTGCTGGAAATGATTGGTTGAGAATGTTGATCTCTTAAACGTCACGTAATATCTGAAGTTTTTCATGTCTTCACATACGTGAAAAACAGTGGCCAGACAGTGTGGTGGTATGAAACGTACGTGGGAGAGCAGGATACATGGCGTGGACCATGCATGTCATTTAGTCTGAGTTTGATTTTGTTAATGTTGCAAAAAAATTGTTATGTTGGGGATGTTCGCGTAATGCTCATGTTTTACAGGACACGCGACACGTAATTTGCCACTAAATGATGCTTCGACAAGCCGTGAGTGGCTGTTTAAATTCATCCGTTTGCTTACTGTTAGTGGCTTGTCATTCTACCGAATTTATTTCAAATTTTGTCATTTTAGTATGGTGATAAACAGTTATTATCCTAATGTAAACCGTTATTATCTTTGATGAAGTTCGACGACCTTTATCGTTATCATCTTAATGTATGGTGATAAATTGCTGCCATCTCTACTGTTATTATGCCATTTATTGATAAAATGCTACATTTAAGTTAGATTTTACGTCAGTTTAATAAGAGACGTTAATTTTTCACCCAAACACATAACAGCATTATTCCGTTTGCAGCATCACTTTCTTAGTTGCTTAATTCGAGCTTTTGTTAAATGATTTACGGGACGGTAATTATCTTCATAACAAGTAAATGATGATCATCTCATGTTTAAAGAAGCTAACAGGATCCTAAAGTTGCTTGTTTGCTGATTAAGGCCAGATAGTTTGTTATATTATCAATGATTCCGCTTTGTTGTGATATTTTCACAATCTATTCTTCTGCAGATGTTTTTGAAGTCAACTCCTTAATTACTTAGCAGGTTAATTTGACAATATTTGGTGCACATTCAATGACGATGTATTAATTCTGCAGGTTGAATAATATATCGTTTACAGGTTTTTGAATGCTACTGGAAATAGTACAACATCGATACATTAAAGGTGACAGCAAGCTACTACGCTTCTTATTTGATTGTCGATAGATTTATAGTTGCCGGATTTGTGCATGGAACCACCTGCGGAGACTTCTTGCTCTCAACAGCTTTCATCAATTAGTAGTAATAGTAATGCTAACAGGTCAGTATGCAGTTTTATAAAATTTTTACTAGAACCTATAACATAGGTGTTCTTGCCTCCCACATCATACCTGGCATTGTGGGTTGATTCATGTCAAATGCGGTGGATTTGGGAATTTTTCGAGATTATGTAGTGTCATAAAACCTCATTTTACAGGTTTACATGTAGAACAGAATCATGTTGTACACTATCGCTTGAAACTTTTCTCGGAAAAGGAGCGAACAATCACTAAAAGGAGATAGCAAGACTCTTAATTCCATAATCCTATATTTCTCATAAGCT